TGCTACAAACTGCAGGCACCAGGATAATAAAAGCCAACATATTCTGCGGCAGGTTTCTACATTCTAAGTTAATTTAGGCGTTAATAAACAGTTTCAGAGGAGTGATCATAGCGCTCTGCATCAGCAGTGCTGCGTCTGACTCCCTGCCAGCTCCCAGATCAGCTTCTCTCATTGGTTGATGCGGTGTCCAGCAGCTAAAGTTAAATTTTTCCATCTTCAGCAGCTGCTGCTTGTGAAGCGCATCAGCTGCTCAGATGCATCATGAGGCTGCAGGACCTTTTGCTGCACCTTGATGTGCGTCAACCGTTGACTTTGCATGTAAACAGGCTGCTTCTGCTGCTCAAAGTGCATCCGGTGTGAACGTAGCATCAGTATCCTTCCTTGAACCTGGTAGGGTCTCACAGGGCAAACAGGTTCTGCATCCCTGCACCTTCAGGAGGCCCTGACTGACTGATGGCCCTGCGATTAATTATTTATGGGAGGTAACCTGTGCGGTTTGTAGCATCATACCTTTACACCAGATCAACACACAGTGGTGCGTTAGACAAACTACAAGGCCCTGCAGCCGTTAGCGCTTAGCGTCGTACCCGTTCCCTGCTGTCCTCCTGGGACGTGTAGACCATGGGGCTGAGGTTGGAGAACAGGAGGAAGATGGTGTCTGCGGCGCTCAGTTTGGCCTCTAACCAAACTTTGTCGGTCCTCTTTGCGCTCAGCCGGTCCAGCGTCTCTCTGCCAAAATAGTTTTCCTGCGGGCTGAGATCGACGCCCTGCAGGATTCGTCCGCAGGCGTCTCCGGAGCGGCTCAGCAGGCCGGCGATGTGTCGGTGGCCCCAGAACTTGGCGATGTCATAGGCAGTCTGGGACGAGCCGTTAACGGAGAACTGATCACAACTGGAACAGACAAAACCAGTTGAAGCTCTGCGGTCTCTACCAGCTGCATGTGGAATCATCTAAACAGCAGGTTACCCGAGCGAAAGCAGCTTCTCCACCACGTGGTGATGGCCGTTACGAGCCGCCAGCATCAGCGCCGTCCAGCCGCTGTTTCCCGTCTGGTTGAGGAGGGAAGGGACATGCGACAGAAGGGAGGACACCAGGGACACGTCTCCTCTCGCTGCGGCGTCTAGAAACTTCTCCACCATCTCCTCCTTGGCGCTCAGCTGCAGACTCGTCATCTGTAATGCTGAACATTTACAAAAATTATTCTTCTGAGTGTGCTGGTGAAGATTCTCACTCATCCAGGTCATAAAAAGTCAAATTAATCCACTGGACTTTGTTTCCAAGTTTGAAGACGTTTCTCTTCCATCCAGGAAGCTTTTTCAATTCCAAATGTCACAAATAGCGTTTAGTTCCAGGTTTTATCCAGCAGCCCAACAAAGCCTGGTTTTAGTTTAGAAAACATGCAAATAGAAACGGATGAACGGGTCCCCCCCTTTGGAATGGGGGTCGTTTGGCTTCTTTGTTAGCCTGCAATGCCCCATACCTGTCTATGTCTCTGAAAGGGGGGTCTTTAGAGGGAATAGTTGGCCTGGCTGAACAGGCGAGGTCCTCTGTTCCCCTGTAATGGAGTTCGGGTTGCGATGAAGGGAGGAACTAAATTTCTGCATTGTGTTTTTCTCTGTGGGACCCGTTCATCTGTTTCTATCTGCATGTTTCTAAACTAAAACCAGGCTTTGTTGGGCTGCTGGATAAAACCTGGAACTAAACGCTATTTCTGACATTTAGAATTGAAAAAACTTTCTGGATGGAAGAGAAACTACATAATAAGTAGAAAGTATTAATCTAGAAGTTAAAAGGTGAAGCATGTCTCCTGCAGTCAGAGGCCTAATGTCCTGCTTCCGCTCCTCTGAGGGACATTCATTTCCCAAAAAAAACAGACTCTGGACCACTGAGCGACAGCCTGGTTCAATCACGGATTAAAACAACAGATGGGTCAAAGTTCATCCTTTTATTGATGTGTTGATAGATGCAGGGGCGGATTTAGGAAGTCTGGGGTCCTAGAAAAAGACAGGCAGGGGGCCTCTGAATGGAGAAGACATAAAACCGACCCAATCTACAGATATACAGAAATGTTAATAGAATAGACATCATGCAGCTATATTATAGTTTTCTATTTATTGACTGTGCAATATCCTGTTCAATATGCTTAATGTGCAATATTTCTCCACCTGTATATAAGCTATCCGGATTGTACATATTTTTATTTTTATTTTATTCTTCATTGTGTACACTTGCACCTTAATCCTATTTATCTTGTTATACTGTATAAACCTGGATATACTGTATATGTATTGTTTATTCTTAATGCACCTTTTTCCTCCCTGTTTGCACCTTCTGTAACTTCTATGCCAATATTCGATGAGTGAATTTCTCCGCTGTGAGATCAATAAAGCTCATCTAATCTAATCCATTATCTGTTCTAGGTCGTGTCCCTCTCTTCTTGTTTTCCTCTCTATGTTTTGTACTCAGCTGACTTTTCATGCTGTCTCTAAAGGAATGAAAGTCATAATTTCAGAGTGGGGGCTTCCATGCATCGGTGACCCCTGATCTTGTCAAAAGCTGAAAAGGGAACTGGCCCTTTAAGTGTTTCTCCTTTAACTATTGGACCGCAGCCTTGTCAGTTAAGCTGTAGCCCCGCCCACTCAACGCCGTCGCGTTATAAAGCAAAGGTTCGCCTCTGATAATGAAGCTTTATTAAAGCAGGAGGCTTCTGCTGCTCTTTGTTCAGGATTAGTTTCAGTGAGTCAGACTTTCCCGCCTCTTCTGCTCCATTAACCCGCCCGGACACTGAAACACAACCCGCCGCAGCTTCCGGTTAATCCGGGCTTTAAACCCAGAAATGAGCCTCTGGAGATGAACCGACCGCTCAAAGGGAACCAGAAGAAGCTGACAGCTCACCTGCTTCCAGCAGATTCTTCCCAGACTCACCTTTCATCTGTTGGATAACCGAGCTGCGTTCAAGTGCAACGCAGGAACTATGAGGCGTTCAGGGGCCGCCTGCGCTGTAGTAATTCCAAACGCTCTTCATCTTTTCTTTCTCATTTATTTGGTATTTGATCAGTTCTGATGTCCTTATCAGAGGAGTTAAAATTATTCATTTTTTATTCACTCCAGTAGAAGAATATTGATTTCTGATTGTATGAAATCAGTCTCTAAATGAGTTTAAAAGATATTTGACCTTCAGGCTGTGATGTCACTGTTTTAACCTTTTGATTATGGTTTTCAACCATATTTGCTTGTTTTTCTAATAGAACATTATATGACAGTGATAGAGTTATTGATTAAATCACATAAATTCATACAATAAAAGGCAGCAATGTTCAAACCAGAGGTACGGAAGAAGATTAGGGCCACTGGAAAAAAAAAAAACTTAACTTATTTTTTTTATTTTATTTCAGTATAGTATGGGAAAAAAGTCAGAATTCTGACTTTAATCTCAGAATTCTGACTTTATTCTCAGAATTCTGAGATTAAAGTCAGAATTCTGAGAATAAAGTCAGAATTCTGAGAAAAAAGTCAGAATTTTTATTCTCAGAATTCTGACTTTAATCTCAGAATTCTGAGAAAAAAGTCAGAATTCTGACATTAAAGTCAGAATTCTGACTTTTTTCCCATACTATACTGAAATAAAATAAAAAAAAATCAGTTAACTTTTTTTTTTTTCCAGTGGCCCTAATCCTCTTCCGTATATAGTAGTACTTGTGTGTTTTGATACCGTAA